TTTTTTCTTTTGGTCTTTTTGAGACAGGGTCTCCCTGTAGCCCCAGGTGGCCTGGAACTCACAGAGATCCGCCTGCCTCTGCCTCCCGAGTACTGGGATTAAAGGCATGCGCCACCACGCCCAGCCTAACTCAAGCATTTTTTATCATTTTATTGGTTTAATATGAAGTGTTATATCTGATTTAGTCCTTAAACTTTCTAGCTCTCTTCTTAAATGCCAAACACAGACAAACAAACAATAAATGCCAAAGACAGACAAACAAACAAACAACAACAACAACAACAAAACTAAGCTAGGTCTGAGGGCACGTGACAGTAAATTCAGCAGGAAGATCAGAGATTGGAGATTCAAGAGGCAGGAAGATCAGAGATTCAAGGCTGCTTGGGTTATAGCTGAGCTCAAAGCCAGTCTGGGCCATTTATTGAGACCCTGTCTCAAAATAAAGGTAAAATGGGGCTGGAGATGTAGCTCAGCACCTTCCTAGGAGATACAAGACCTTAGTTAGGGTCGACTCCAGAACATCACCAAGGAAAAGCGCCCTGCATTCTGTTACCTAAATCTTTAGTTTTATAGTGTTGTTTTGAATCACTTTTATTTTAAATAAGGAACTAAGTAGGGGAATTGTGGATGTATTTAAGAGTCAGGTAAGATTGCCTCTGACTTCTTGCCAGAATATAACAGTTTTGTGACTTTTCTAGCAAGCTCAGTTCTGAGTAGTTCCCAATTAGCTGTCAGCTCAATGTCATGCTGGCATCTAGAGCACAGAAGGGAGGTGTCACACTGAGGAAGTTCATACCTTTTGGCCTCCTGGCAGTGTTTGTGAAGCCTCATGTGAGTCTGCGTAGTTGCACACATTCTCTACAACTTGTAAATCATCTTAATGTCCAGCCTCGGCACCCAACTGCAGGTTCCTAGAACTCACTTCAGTGACTGTTACACTCCATGTTGCTTTTCCCTTCCCTCCATAGTCTTCAGACCTTAGGTTAAGAATAAAATGACGCTGGAGAGATGGCTTAATGTTTAAAGAGCACTGGCTGTTTTTGCAGAGGAGCTGGGTTTGTTTCCCAGCACCCGCATGGCAGCTAGCAACTGTCTTTAACTTCAGTTCCAGGGGAATCTGATGCTCTCTTCTGATCTCCTCAGGCATTGCATGACTTGGGTGCACTTACACACATGCAGGCAAAACATTCATATACATAAAGTAAAAATACTAAAATATTCTTTAAAAGAGTTACACAACATCTTCACTTTCCGGCCCTGTCTCTCTCTCTGGTCCTTTTCAGTAATTTCCTGATTTATCTTCTCTCTAATTTTACCTTCAGAGATGTCTACCCCCCCCCACTTCCTTCCCAAGATGCCCAAAAGTGGTGTATTTATCTGATAAGGATGCAATAACAAACACAGTTGGCTTAAACAACTGGCATTTAGCTCTCCCTACTAGGCGCTGCAGATTCAAGATTTAGGGCCCTTGGGAGATGTGTTTCTGGTGAGAGCTCCCTTTCTTGATTGTACACCATCTTTTTTTCACTGTACCTTCAAATGACGGGCCTGGGGTGGGGTGTATTGTTTGGGTATACTTATTTTTATCTTAAGAATGTGTCTTTAGCAAATGATATTACAAGATAGCTTATAGGGTATATTACATAAGTTTATAGGCCAATAAGACAACGATAACAAAACAACAGGTTAAGTTGGACATGGTAGTTTTTCAGGCCAGCCTGGGCTACATAAGAACCAGTCTTAATAAACAAAGCAAAACAAAAAACATGGGACTGGAGAGATGGCTCAGTGGTTAAGAGTGCTGACTGTTCTTGCAGAGGACCACATGGCAGCTAACAAGAATCCTTAAACTCCAGTTCCAGGGGATCCAGTGCCCTCTTCTGACCTTGATGGGCATTGTACAACATGGGTGCACTTACATGCGTGCAGGCACACTCATACACATAAAATAAAAAAAAAAATAATAAATATTTTTAAAAACCCAGGAGCTGGAGAGATGGCTTGGCAGTTAAGAGCACTTGCTGCTCTTGTCAAAGACCCGGGTGTGAATCCCAGCACCCACGTGGCAGCTAGTAGCCATTTATAATTCCAGTTCTGGAGTATCTGACATACTCTTCTGGGCTCTGTGGGTATTTCACAGCACAGATGCACTTAGATATATGCAAGCAAAACACTCATACACATAAAATAAAAATAATTTTAAAAAACCCAGCTGGGTATAGTGGCCCACATCTTTAAACCCATCACTCAGGAAGCAGAGGCAGGCAAATCTCTGAGATCAAGTCCAGCCTGGTCTACATATGAGTTCCAGACCAGCTGGGACTACAGAGAGACTCTTAAAAAAAACAACAACAAGCAAAACAAATAATAAACAACAGGCTGGGTGTGGTGGCACATGCCTTTAATCCCAGCACTTGGGAGGCAGAAGCAGGC